AAAAAAAAGAAAAAGTCACGGTCCCGTCCTATAAAGATCCTGATCCCTGGCCGAGCTTCTGCAAAATGCGTTTTGGAATGCCTGAAGTGGAGTGAATCAGGAGGCTGTGTTTGACCAGCTGTTACCTTACAAATAGAGACGTGGCCAAATAAAACCCTGGTCTGGAGCCTGGTTAGTGAAAGCTTGGTAGTGGTGATGGTGGTGGTGGTAGTGATAGTGGTGGTGGTGGTGTGCTGTCATGTTGATTCCAGCCCAGAGCACCCCTGGACGAGAGGGTGAAGATTTGCAGAGCAAATTCACTCTCCATACAGCAGTTCACATACACTTTGTCTCAAGACATTGACTATAATTTACCACAATGCAACAGTTCCCCTCCCACTTCTTCCCGATAGTTACCTCTTCCCTGTGTCCATCCCTCCATGCACTCCTGCCCCCTGAGCTGTCCCCCTGTGCATAAGCAGCCCTTCTTTCTCCCATGATTCTCTCCAAGGAGTCTATCTACCTCGTGTAAATGTTCAACTCATATGCCTGATTTTGGGAGCTCTGGTAGCATAGTGGCTAAGACACTTGCCTGCTAACCAGATGGCTGGTGGTTCAAACCCACCAGCCACTCCTCGGAAGGAAGATTGGGCAATCCTACTTCCGTAGTGATACTGCCTCGGAAACCCAAGGAGGGGTTGCTATGAGTCGGGGCCGACTCGACGGCATATAACAACAACATGCCTGATTTTTGTTTGGCTGGAAACCACGGGTGTGGGTTTGATTCCAGACCTGAAGGGCAGCTAGGGGCCTTAGTCTCAGTGGTTCCCCCAGGCTCTGTCAGACCAGCAAACCTGCCCCCCCCCCTTTTCTTTCCTCCAAATGATTTTGAGTTTTGTTCCACATTGTTCTCCCTTAGGCTGTATTCCTTATGGGCACAGATTGCCGGTTCTTTTCTCCCATGGAGGCACTGGCGGCTTTGAACTACCAGTGTTTTGGATAGTACTTGAGCATTTAACCACTGTGCCACCAGGACTCTCCCCCGTGCAAACTGTAGAGGCTCTTAAATATAGAAAATAAGGAATATTATATGTATATATTTGTGTGAACTTAATTAAAAAAATAGGTGGCGTACACCATCAATGATTGACCCATCCAGGCATCTGGAGACTACCAAACAAGAACAAACCCCCAGTAAACAAACCCACTCCCATCAAGTCAATTCCCATTCAACAGTGACCTTCCAGGACAGAGAAGAACCGCCCCCAAAGGGTTTGTGAAGCTGTAAATCTTTACAGAAGCAGACAACCTCATCTTTCTCCCACAGAGTGGCTTGTGAGTTCAAACCTCCAACCATTGGGTTAGCAGACACATGCTTTAACCACTACCTCACTAGAACTTCTCAGGCCAGAACTGTAAGTTTGAAACAGCTGCTGTTGTTGTTTGGTGCCCTTGAGTCGATTGTGGCTTATACTGATTCTTGGTACATCTTCACAGTCATTGCTACATTTGAACCCATTGTTGGCCCACCGTGTCAGTCCATCTCACTGAGGATCTTTCTCTCTTTGCTAACCCTGTACTTTACCAAGCATGTTGTCAGTCATGATTACCAGTCCAGGGACTGGTCCCCCATAGTAACATGTCCAAAGTATATGAGAAGAAGTCTTGCCGTCCTCACCTGTAAGGAGCATTCTGGCAGTACTTCTTCTAGTACCATAACTCAGAGGCATCAATTCTTCTTCAGCCTTCCTTATTCATTGTCCAGGTTTCATATGCATATGAGGTTATTGAAAGGAACATGTCTTGGGTCATAGACACCTTAGACCTCAAAATGACACCTTTGCTTTTTGAACACTTTAAAGAGGTTGGCAGCAGATTTGCCCAGTGCAATACGACATCTGAGTTCTTGACTGCTCCTCCATGGATGTTGATAGTAGATCCAAGTAAAATGGAGTCCTTGACAAACTTTATCATGATGTTGCTTATTGGTCCAGTTGTGAGGATTTTTCTTTTCTTTATTTTGAGATGTAATCCATAATGAAGACTGTCGTCTTTGATCTTCATCAGTAAGTGCTTCAAGTCATCTTCACTTTCAGCCAGCAAGGTTGTGGTATCTGCGTATCTCAGGATGTTCATGAATCTTCATCGAGTCCTGGTACCATATTCTTCATATAGTCCAGCTTCTCAGATTATTTACTCAGCATTCAGACTGAATAAGGATGTCAAAGGATACAACACTGTCACACACCTTTCCTGATTTTAAACCATGCAGTAACCCCTTGTTCTGTTTGAATACTGCTTCTTAGTCTATGTACAGGTTTCTCATGAGCACAGTGACATGTTCTGGAATTCCCATTCTTTGCAGTGTTACCTGTAATCTGTTATGATCCATGTAGTTGAATTCCTTGGCATAGTCAATAAAGCACAGGTAAACATCTTTTCAGTGTTCTCTGCTTTCAGCCAAGATCCATCTGACATCAGCAGTAATCCCTACTTTTGTGTGAAAGTAATTATATTATGAACTCTGCTCTCTCTTGCAACACAGTAACACATTCTGTTTACACAGACGTGTGATGGGAGTAGGAAGGTGGTGAGGTTGAAGCTCTTTCTGGATGAGGCTGTCTGGGTTCAAATTCCAGTTCTGCTGACTAGCTGTTGTCTCTTTTAGGAGGTGTAAGGGTAGCATACCATAATGGGATCGGTCGCTGTCCCAGGCATGATCCCTGACTTGTGTCAGAGGCCTCCAGCCATGTCGCTTTGGTATGCTACACTACACCACCTCGTGATGGCTGTGCTGTTTAACTTTTCTCCTGGAGAGGTCTCTGCACCTGTCACTACATCTGTTCCTCATTATCTGTACCCCTGCCCAAAGCACACACTTATGTGCACATGTGCCAGCCTGCCCACAGGTTTCTGCCATCGTCTTTGGCGTCACTCACTCCTGGTGTGGCTGCTGTGTTACCCGCAAGCAGCCGATCCGTTCAGGAGTGTTGTCAGCACCTCTTCTCGCTGCCCAAGGCCCTGGGTTAGGCGTTGCCTTCCAGCCCCGCTCTCATAGTTTCTTCTCCTTCTCTCTGCTACCATTGTCATGCTTGTGCCACTTCTTTCTCACTCGGGTCTCATCACTAAAGGTGCCTCTTGTTTGACTTCTTGTTGTTGGTTTATATAGAGTGTGTTGTTTTTATTAGGGGCCATCAGCTTGGCTCCGAGTCGTAGCAACCCTGTGTACAACAGAATGAAACACTGCCTAGTCCTGTGCCAGGCTCACCACCCTTGTTTTATTTTTCTTTTAATGAACACCTCTGAGTCTTGGGATATTTAGCAAAATGATAATATTGTTATCAAACTGAAGAGAATCTGCTGTATATTTAATCTCATCTGGCATTTTCATTCATTCCACCTGAAAGCAGGGATGTGTGTGTGTGTGTGTGTGTGTTTGTATGAGAAAGAGAGAGAGAGAGAAAAAAAAAAACTTGCACAGCAAAACATACAGCCTTTCATTTTCTCCATATACATTCAGTGTCAGTGCTTTCATACTCCACATTGTATCACTGCTCCCCTTCATCTCCGTCCGTATTGGGACTCCACTGCTGCCTAGATTTAACACCCTGCACTTCTCATAAGGAGCTTTAGTGGCGCAGTGCTTCAAGCACTCAGCTGCTAACCAAAAGGTCAGTAGTTCAAACCTACCAGCCGTACTGAGGGAGAAAGATGAAGCAGTCTGCTTCCATAAAGATTGACAGTCTTGGAAACCCACTGGGGCAGTTGTAATGTGTCCTATAGGGTTGTTGCTATGAGTCAGAATCGACTCGGAGGCAGTAGGTTTGATTTTTTTTTTTTTTTTTTTAACTTTTGATCTGTGCTTGAGGGTGGCTGCTGTCCGTTTGATCTCATAGATAATTCTTTTCATGGAGTGCAGTGCTCAAGGCGAGCGGTTTTTTTTTTTTTTTACTAATTTAGTGAAGCTGTTGTTTGTTTTAAAGATGACATTAAAGGATACTTTCCAGTGTAAGTGTTGAAGATTTAAATGTGGGTTCTTCCAGTCTCAGGGGGTCTGGTTAGTCTGGATTCTGTAAGGATTTGAGATTTTGTTTTCATCCTCCTCCTCTTGTTCAGGACTCGGCTATCGAGTCCTTGATCAAAACATTCAGTGACCGTAGCAGGGCATCATCCAGTCCTCCGGTCTCTTGGAAGTGGATGCAGTTAGAGCTGCAGACCATTTTCCTTCTCCACTTCCAAGTCATCTTCCTCCGTTGCTCCAGGTGATAAGACTAGATGTTGTATCCTGGATGGCCTCTGGCAGTTTTCAGACCACAGACACTACTCACCAAACTAAGGAGTAGGGTGGCATCTTCAGGAATGATACCAAGCCAGTGAGTGGACAGCCCCACAGCTGTGGCCCTGAACCTCAGCCTCAGAGAGCTTAGTCCTGTGAGGTGTTTGCTTGTACCTAAGCAGTATCAGTGGCTGGGGGGTTTGAACCACTGACCTTTTGATTAGCAGCCAAATGCCTTGGCCACCACATCAGCAGAGCTCCTCAAATAGTATCAGCAGCTGCAGCCTCTTTTTTAATTTGTTTTGGTTTTGGTTGTTGATATAAAATTTTATATAATACATTTGCCATTTTTCCCATTTCTGGTGTGCAGCTTAACGACACTGGTTGCATCAGTCAGGTTGTGTAACCCCTTTCCTTCATCAGAGCCGATTTTCCCATCACCTTGGACCTAAAGTTACTACTTCCCTGCATACTTCCCAGTTTTTTGGTTGGCTAGCCACGTGCTAGACTCTCTAAGGGAATGTTAATGGAAGAGAGAGCTCATTCTTAACTGGAGATGCAACAAGAGCATGTGTGTGTCAGCACACTGGTGGTTCCGCCAGCAGGAGTGTGAGCTTCAGGGGACCACACTTCCTGTTCCCTGGACTGTCCCTGGCGGAAGCAGTCATTAGACTGCCCATAGGTGAGGCTGTCGCATGCTGAGCGGTCCCCGAGAGCTGACTGTGCTTCCGGTTTCTGTGTGCAGGCGGAAGGAGAGGACAGCCTTAAGAAGATGCAGCTGATGGAACTTGCAATTCTCAATGGCACTTACCGGGATGCCAACATTAAATCACGTAAGAATAAGGCCGAGGCCGAGGCCCACACCCCCATGGTCCCCGTGGTCCCCGCGTCCTCGCTGCTTGGTCTGCAGGCCTTTTTCCTTCGGGCGGCACGTGATCGGCTCAGCCACCTGGAGAGCTGAAGCGCTCTGCCCATGATCACATGCTTGCGTGTCTTAACTTTGGGGTTTGTAACCTTTACCCTTTGGATGAAATTTCAGCCTCTGAATTCGAGAGGTTCAGGAAATTTTCCTGAAATTTTTCATTATCTTGAAGATTTAAGACTTCCAGCTTATGTTGTTACGTTTATGCAAACGACAAGATTTTGAAAACTTTTCTTTAGGGGGAAAAAAAAAGCTAATCTGGATGTACACACAGTAGTCAAGCTGATCTGAATGAAATGTGTTGAATTCTGTCCTTTCACCTTGCCTGCCATTTGCCTGCGGTGCTTCTTCCCTGTTGATTTCATAGATGAGGTCACAGGTCACAGAGACCCTGTTTTTCCAAAGTGGAGTAGCTTCGAGACACTCTGGGAACATTACTGCTTTCATAGTTAAAACGGAATCATGTGGATTGGGTATTAAGAGACAGTGCCAAGTAGGCACGTGTTACTTACATACACTTTATCATTATATTTAAATTACAGTTTTTCAAAGAAATGGAGTTTTAAAGGCCCAGCCAACTTCCCAAAATGAAGGTAGCCCAGTGGGTTCAGAAGGGGTTGCTGGACCAGTGGTTAGTTTTCCTTGACTCCTGGGACTTGAATGTGTAATTGAGAGTGCTGTATTTCGGAGGGAAGCATCTTTGTCTTTTTATTTTCTTTCTTTAATTGAAGTTGAGGCTTCTTTGTAGAAGCCTACCAGAACTGAGTCTCTGTGACTTCAAGTACAAACACCTGTTAACATCTTTCAGTGCAGGTGTGTTCTTCAGCCCTTGCATGCCCTTTAGTCTGTGGCTCTGGCAAACATACATGGATCCAGAACAGTTGGCTGCAGCCTGGGCCAGTGGCCTCGCTCATGTTTTTCACCAGGGTTTTTTCGTTGTTGCACATGTGTTCTATAATCACACTGGGAGAGGGCAAGCCGTTGGCATCTGGTTGGTGTGCTTTGGCATTTTGGTGTGATCAGTGCATGTACTAATGGTCTCCTTTTATTTTTCTTCCTCCTGCTTTCCCCTCTCTTTTTTCCTCCTGCCCTCTCGTGTTCCCGGACTTTGCACTGCTCTCTCTGCCCTTCTTCTGACTCTTTGCTCACTGCAGCAGCCCTTGCCTTTTCTCTTGCAGCAACAGCTCAGGCTGCTCCAAGGATTATCACTGGGCCCGCGCCTGTCCTCCCACCAGCCGCCCTGCGCACCCCAACGCCAGCGGGCCCTACCATAATGCCTTTGATCAGACAAATACAGACCGCCGTCATGCCAAATGGGACTCCCCATCCCACTGCTGCAATAGTTCCTCCAGGACCGGAAGCTGGTTTAATCTACACACCCTATGAGTATCCCTACACGCTGGCGCCGGCCACATCCATCCTTGAGTACCCGATCGAGCCTAGTGGCGTATTAGGTAAGTCGTGCTGCTGTGTGCTTGCAGAGACATGCCTTCATATTGTCACTTCCCTAGACGTTGAACTCATGGTACCCGTTAGAAAGAGGCAAGACAAATTTCCAGGAGAAAAGACTGAAGACTAAATTTTGTTTGATCCCATACTCTCAAAAGAGTTGCCCTTTTTAATCATTGTACCTTAATTTTGTTGAAGTTCACTTGGCTTATGGCTTGGTAAATTTTCACAGTTACAAAGCCATTCTGCGTTTTAGTTCTTCTCATCTCCCTGTCCCCTCCTTACAAAAAAAAAAAAAAAAAACAGAAGCCAACCCCAACCCATTGCCTTCGAATTGATTCTGACCGACCCACAGCGCCCCTAGAGGACAGAGTGGAACTGCCTGCAGGATCTCCAGGGCTGTCAGTCTTCACAGAAGCAAAGCCCAAACCACACCCACT